AAAAAAAAAAAAAAAAAAAAAAAAAAAAGGATGTACAACCATATAGAGGACTTCCATAAGCAGATTAGGAAGCCAGTTAGGGTCCACGCAAGAAAGTTATAAAACAGATGAGAGTTTTTTGAGAGACACACAGGGAGAACTCAGCAAGAAAACTGAGATGGTAAAAAAGAACCAAACCAAATTCTGGAAATGAAAGAATCAAACAAAGAAAAAAACATAGTAGGCCAAGATCAAGTTAAGGACAAATTTCAGAGCTGGAGCACAGGTTGAGACAATAATACACACAAACACCCCCCCACACACACACACACAAACACACACACGAAACTAATGAAGATAACCAAAACTTCTAAGAAGTCTGGGATACATTCAAGACACCTAAGTATCCAGGGCCTAGCAGACAGAGTTATGGAAAATTATGTAGAGGCTTAGACAATCTATTTTTTATTGAAATCACGAATTTCATAAATATGACCAGAGAAGAATCTCTCCATGGAATAGTATATCTAAATTAAAAAACAAAAAACAAATAAAGAATACTAATGTCTATAAAGAAAATACCAACTCATATTCAGAGGCAGAAAGATCAGAAAAACATTAATCTTTTCTTAACAACCCTCAAAGCCAGGAAAAGTTTGGAGTAACATATTGCAAGCTCTGAAACTGTCAACCAAAACTGCTCAGCTCCCTCCCCGCGAAGTTATTTATTAAAGCTGACAGAGAAATAAAAGTATTCACGATAAGCACAAGTGAAGGCAATTCATGGCAACTGAGTCAGCACTTGAGAAAGTTCTTAGAGGAACACTTCCCAGGGGAAGAGGAAGGTCGGCTTTACCCATGAGAACACAAGAAAGCACACACTGCCGGAGGAGCAGAAAACTGGAGGGTCAGTCATATTCACCACGGCAAGTCAGTGAGCATCTGGGAACTTCAAGAGAGTAAGAAATGAACTCCCACTAACCAGGAACTAACAAATCCTCAGCAATAGTAAATCTTGAATAACAGCCTCAATAGTAACCCCAATGGCAAACTGCTTTGGCCTTTCAACTTAAAGACTAAACTGAATTAAAAAAAAAAAAAAAAAAGATCCTACTATTTGTCATCACCAAGAAATTCACATAACTAGCAAAGATATCCAGAAACCAGGAGTCAAAGGTCAGAAATAAGCATACTAAGCAAAGGGAAGCGGCGGTAAACAAGCTGGCATAGTAATTCCGGTGTCTGAAAGGTTCAAACCAAAAGTAGTCAGAAGAGATAAAGAGAATAACTACATATTAATAAAGGACATAATCAAGAGGACATAGCTATTGTAAATATCTATGCACCAAATCTTGGGGCCACCGATTTCATAAAACAAATGTTCAAAGACTGAAAAGGTCACACAGGCCCCTCCACAGTAATAGAGGAGACTTCAATCCCCTCTCTAGTACCTAGAGAGGTCTTCAGTCAGAAAGGCAGTAAAAAGATCATCTGGCCCTAAGATATGTTCACCTCTTATATGAAGATCTAGAATAGTTCAAGGGCATAAAAGTTTATACTCCTTGAAACTTTCAAAGGTTTATCTATGAAACATTATGGACATGGTGTTTGGAGGAAAATACTACCATCATGACAATTTTATCAAGTATATCAATGGTTATCTACCAAGTATTCCTATGGCTTTGGAATGGTACTTCTCACTGTCTGATAAAATAATTCATTTTCAAAGCTGGATGTAGTGTTCCTTGTACTTGAGAGGCAGGAGGATCTCTGTGAGTTCAAGGCCATCCTATTTTATTTAACAAGTTCCAAAACAGCCAGGGCTATATAGAAAGACCCTGTCTCAAAAAACCAAACCAACAATTCATTTGCAGGTCTATTAGCTGAGTATCCTTTAGCAGTTTTACGGTTCCATAGCTCATCTGTAGCTGTGATCCTTTAGTTTCCTCCCACCTCATATTTATATGTCTATGTCTGGACTTGCTCAAGTTTTTTTCTTGACCAAGATTTATCCACTGAGTCTATTTGTCTTTTTTCTTTTCCTTTAAAATAAAAAGCAATTACTGAATTCATGTGTTCATTCTGTTTTCAAATTCATTACATTCTGTTCCTATCTATTATTTGGGCCACACTGTGTGTGTGTGTGTGTGTGTGTGTGTGTGTGTGTGTGTGTGTGTGTGTGTGTACTTTTCTGTGTAGCCATGGCTGTCTTGGAACTCACTCTGTAGATGAGGCTGGCTTCGAATTCAGATTGGCCTGCCTCTGCCTCCTGAGTCTGCCCAGCTTTGTTCAAGTTGACTATTTAACAAAAAAGTATTTTAAATTCATTTTGGTTATGTATGAATTCATTCTCTCTAGAGATAATTTTAATTTAGACTAGAAAAACAAAACATTCTGGTGAATTAACTTTTAGAACAAAACTATTGGATTCCAAATGGAATCAATCTTAACCCATATATATTAGTAACACTTATTCTCATCAAATTTCAGAAAATTTTAAACAGCAATTAAGCTTCTTACCTCTTTTGTAGTACTTGCTCTTCCAGGTTCATGATCCATACAAAACGGGCCAGTTTTCCATGCTTCTGTGTCTCCACAGTCACAGAAACCCCCTCCAGTAGAAGTGTGCATCTGGTAAATGACAAATGAGGTCTTCATGAGCCACACTTCATTCACTAACACTTCTATCTTAGTTGTATTTAGTGTAACAGAATCGGGATAGGACAAAAATCATTGTAGTTATATAAGTAATACCAACCACCTGAATATTTTAGTGTAACAAAAATGGGCCTTCTAAATGTACAAGTTTTTGAAATGTAACTCCACATTTTTAAAATGTTAGGTTTTTTTTTAATTAAATGTGAATTAATGGAGAACAGATGGGAAAGTAAAAATATTTTTTTATAACGCTTGAGTATGAATTTTCTTTTTTATGACATGGATGTTTAAAATCAATATAATGATACATAATAATTTGAAAAACATTTAATACAGTATCTTGATTTACATTAAGTCCTACAGCAACTATAATATTTTTCCTTTCAGTGTTCCTAGAAAAAAAAACCTAAAATATACTAATTCAGGTAGAAGAGAATGGTGACAATGTGATCTGGACTTTTCCTGAGAACTTCCCCTCCAAACATACAGGAAGGAGGCACAAGCCCACCTGCGAGCCACACTCAGCAGCCACGATCACAGAGACCTTTCTTAGCTTGAATTCACACAAAAACTGCAAGCCAGAGTTTGCTCAAGCTCAATTTATTGACTGTTCTAGAGGATGAGCTTCACTCATCTAAGATGCCTTTCAGAAAACCTCAGAAAATGAAGGTTGTAGATTCTAAAATAGTTACCCTCAGAATAAAAACAAATCATAGGAGGGAATTTGGTTAGAGGAATGCAAGCAGGATTATTTGAGCTTCAGAAAGTCTACAACTCTGAAAGAGAAGGGAAAGGGAAAGCAACAAGAAAATCAACCATTATATGGGTAATGGAAAGGACTCAGAGGACACTGAGACTACAGCTGCATAGGGTGGCACATGCCTGTAATCCTAGCATGTGAGAAGGGAAAGCAGGGCCAAAATCGTTCTCAGTTACACAGAGGTCCAAACTAACTGGACTATATGGGCTGGGGGTCAGGGGGACCCAAGAACAAAACAAACAAACAAAAATACTTGAGACTAGTTACAAGATCAAAAAAGAGAACAGTAAAATATAGGCCTTAATAATGAGGCAACCAATGGGGAAAAAGTAACAAGAAATAAGACATGTGAAATGTCCTGAGATTTGATAAAGATATCAAAATATATTTTTAAAAATAAATACATTTTAAACAAAAGCAAATATAAGTAGAATTGGTAATATCACAAAAGCAAAGCACAAAAATTTAGTAACAAAAATTTAGCAAATCTTCCAGGCATGGTGGCTGCACATCTTTAATCCCAGTCCTCAGGAGGAAGGCAGATCTCTGAGATTGAGGACAGAATGGTTTCCATAGAGAGTTCCAGACCAACCAGGTATACACAGTGAGAACTTATCTCAAAAAAAATAAAATAAAATAAAATAAATTTTTTAAATGTCAATAAAATGACACAAACCAAATTTAAAAGACAAAAAATTTTTTAGCCATCCATTATGATCCAAAATCCCACTCTTACCAATCAGAAATAAAAACTTTTATCAATAGAAGACTTGTATGTCAACATAATAAAATGATAAATAATAACACCAAAACAGCTATATTCAAAAGCTCAAGCCAAGATCTGGAGAAATGTCTCAGCAGTTAAGAGCAGAACAGTGAGGTTCGGATCCCCATACCCATCAACAACTTCAGTTCTAGCACTCTTCTGCATACATATACACATGCAGCCAAAATACTCAGGCTCATAAAATTAAAAAAAAAATCATTAAAAAAAATCTAGAAACATTCCAATTGCCACCAACCAGTGACTGAATAAATGAACCAGCATGTGAGTACAATGACATACTACTCCTGGCTAATCCATGATCTCAAAGACATTATGTATACGAAAGAAGCCAAAAAGAAAGACTACACACTACACGATTTCACTTATATAGGATTTTGAAAAAGCTTAAATATAGGGAAAGAAAGCAGATCAGTAGATGCCAGGAGCTAGGGCACCACACAACTTTTTCTATGGATGTTTCTAGCTTAATATTAGCAAGTGTTACTAATATAGCACACAAATGCATGTTTACAATCTCATAAAATGGGATTCTTAACAGAATAGACTTTAGTGTATAATATACACCTCAATAAGCCTGACTAAACACTTGAAAAAAAATTAAGGTGTAGTGACATATGTCTTTAATCCCAGCACCTTGGAGACATATGCAGGTACATCTTTATGAGTTCAAGGCCAGTCTGGTCTACATAGTGAGTTCTAGGTCACCCAAGGAAAATAGAATAATAAAAAATTGAATATTAATAAAATAACTAAATAACAAGCATTTCTAAAGTATTTAACACAGCAGTAAGGAAAGGCAAAAGAAAAATGAAAAGGATAGAAATAAATAGTACATAGAAGAAACAAGGGATTGGGTAGTGCTCAAATGTCAAAGTATGACCTAATATCCATGAAGCACAGGGTTCAATCCCCACAACCAAAAAACCAAACAAAGCAATGACAACAACAACAACAACAAAACTCTGTATATTTAAACTCTGAGAAGATGTTTCTAGAAAAGCAATATCCCCACATCTCTCTCATCGTTTTGAGGCAGGATTTTCTGTATAGCCTAGTAAGACCATGAGTTCTTGATCCTGCCTCAGCCTCCCTGGTGCTAGAATTAAGAACTACAGGTATGTGCCACCATGCCCAGCTCTCATGTCCTCCTTGTGTTAATTTCTTTTTAGATTTATTATTTCACACGGGGGGGGGGGGGTTGTCTGCATGCATGTTTTTGTACCCATAAAGGTCAGAAGAGGGCATCAGATCCCCTGGGTCTGGAGTTACAGATGCTTGTGAGCTAGCATGTGGGTGCTGGGAACCAAACCTGGGTCCTCCACAGGAGCAGCCTGTGCTAGTAAACTGCCATCTCTCCAGTATTAACACACACCCTTTTAATGAGAGTATAAACTGGCCCAGCAACACAAAAACTGACCTAAATCTATCAAAATTTTGTGAAAACAACGTGCGACCATCACAAGAAATACAGATAGTCAAACTCTGAAGTATCTATAGTAGAATCTTGTGGAAACCTAAAAAGGAAGGAAATTGTGATATTTGTTATATTTGAACCTTGAGAGCTTTATGCTAAGTCAAGCCAGTCACAAAAGACAAACCCTGCCTGATTTCAATAATATAAGGAACTTACAAAAATCACATTCACAGAGACAGAAAGTAGAATGATGGCTACCTGGGGAAAAGCAAGGGAAGGAAAGAAAAGAAAAGCCATCACTTAAAACATTTGTGTTTTACACAATAAATTATGGAGATGGATGGTGGTAATGGGTACACAATATGAGTTTAAAAACTTAATGCCAGGCTAGAAAGATGGCTCAGAGGTTAAGTGCACTGGCTGCTCTTCCAAAGGTTTTGAGTTCAATTCCCAGCAACTACATGGTGGCCCACACCCATCTATAATAAGATCTGGTGCCCTCTTCTGGCAGGCAGGTATACATGCAGACAAAACACTGTATATAATAAATATATCTGTATACATAATAAATAATAAATCACATATACATTTATTATGTGTAAATGTATATATAATAAATCTTTAAAAATAAATACATAAAAACTTAATGCCACCTACCTGCAAACACTTAAAAATAGTTCAGATAGTAAATATTATATCCATTTTACCACAATAACAGAAATGGGGAAATCTTTCAAAATTAAAAAGTATATATCCTTCAATCTCAAACTATGTATCTTCTACAGACCAAGTCTCAGACATGCTTTTTTTACATGCATATGAATACATACACACAAGTAAATAAGTAAAATAAATATAAATTTGTTTGTTTTGTTTTGAGACAGGGTTTCTCTGTGTATAACCCTGGCTGTCCTGGAACTTGCTTTTTAGACCAGCCTAGCCTTGAACTCACAGAGATCAACATGCCTCTGCCTCCCAAGTTCTGGGATTAAAGGTATGTGCCACCACACCCAGCTATAAATGTAAAAACAAACAAACAAAAATTTTTTTCCAGTTTTTCGAGACAGGGTTTCTGTGTAGTCCTGGCTGTCCTGGACTCACTTTGTAGACCAGCCTGGCCTCAAACTCACAGGGATCCACCTGCCTCTTCCCATCTGAGTGCTGCGATTAAAGGCGCGCGCCACCATTTTAATAAAATAAAAAGGTATGAAACTGAGAGAGGTGCTTTACACCTTAATTCTAGCCTCTGGAAAGCTGAAGCAGGAGATCAGCCTGAGTACTCAGTTACTTTCGGATCCTGTCTGTCCATAGTCTGTCCATAGCGTAAAGCTGAAGGGCCAAGCTGACGGTCTTCATATGGGGTTCCTGACAGGTGGAGGGGGCGCTGTTTCTAACATGGACTCTGTTGCCTGCTTTCGGATCACTTCTCCCTGGTAGGGCTGCCTTGCCTGGCCTCAGGGGATGAAGATAGGCGCAGTCCCTACGTGACTCGATGTGCTGGGGAGGGTTAATGGGGTGCGGGGTTCCCCTTTTCTTGGGGGAAAGAGAGAAGGGAAAGAAGGATGGGAGGGTGGAAGGGACTGAGAGGAGGGAGGGGCACCCTCGGGATGTAAAGTAAATAAACTAATAGAAAATTAAAAAAAAAAAAACTGTCTTAAAAACAAGGGGAGGGAGGCTGGAATCTAGTTCAGTGATGAGAGTGTATGTCAAGACCCTGGGTTCAATTCTCAGCATCACATATTATGCTTGTTTAAACGGTGGTGCGCAACCTTCCTAATGCTTCGACCCTTTAATACAGTTCCTCATGTTGTGGCGACCCCCAACCATAAAATTGTTTTCATTGCTATTTCATAACTATATTTGCTACTGTTATGAACTGTAATGTAAGGATCTGTGTTTTTCTGATGGTCTTAGGCAACCCCCCAAAAGGGGTTGAGACCCACAGGTTGAGAACCATTGCTCTAAAGCAACACATTATTGAACATAAAAATATGTAAACATAAAATAAAAATAAGTTATTTTTATTTTAAAAATAATATTAAAAATATGTAAACAGAGGACCCCCTGTTTAAGACACAGTTTTACACTGTACCCAGGATGATCTGGAGTTGACTGTGTACCCTGGCTAATCTTGAGCTCATGGCAGCCCTCCTGCTTCCCAGGGCCGAAATTACAGGTGTAAAGCACCTCTCTCAATTTCATACCTTATTTTTTAAAGTCTAAGAGTCAAAGATCAGCTTGGCCAGTGGCACACACACCTGTAATCCCAGCACTCACGGAGACAAAGGCAGACAGGTATTTGTGTGAGTTCGAGGCCAGCCTAGTCTACAAAGTGAGTACAGGACAGCCAAGAGAAACCCTGCCTCGAAAACAAAAAGAAAAGAGTCAATGACCAGAATAACACAACTTGATCAAACAGCATGGAAGTTATGGCCAAGTTCACATCTAAGAGTCTTCTGGTATCCTGGTTTCTGATACCAAAAATCAGGCCTGTTTGAGTTGATGGTCTTTGTTTTGTTTTTTTGAGACAGGGTTTCTCTGTGTAGACCTGGCTGTCCTGTAACTCAGAGATCCATCTGCCTCTGCCTCCTGAGTGCTGGGATTACAGGCGTGTGCTATTACTACCCAGCAAAACTGACAGTCTTTTACTGAACACACCTCAAAGCCAATTAGAGCATACCCAGAGATGAAAACAAATCCATCCACAATCTCCTTTTCTGTCCCTTTCCTATTTTCTTATCTCTATCTGATTTGTGTCCTGTTTCCCCACTTGACTATAAACCTTTTGTGGATGAAGTTCAGATTTTGTATATTTTATACATTCCTTGCCTTTCATAGTACTTGGGACACAGAAACTTAATAACATTTGTTTAAATGAATTGGGGTCCCCTATTAAAAGGACCAAAGAACAAACAAAGCTGGTAGGGAAGATTTAATTATAAGAATAGCTATTAGTGTCAAGTATGGTGACATAGTCTTCTAATTCCTACACTTGAGAGGCAGAGGCAGGTAGATCTCTGAGTTCAAGAACAGCCTGGGCTACATAATGAAACCTTGTCTATAAAACAAAAACAGGCAAAACAGCTAGTAGGGTATGTTTTAGCATCAACCTGCTTTATATATTCTAGAATTCAGTTCTGCATGTGAATATATATTTGCATATTGTCTTTCAAATGTAACAACATTCAGAGCTCTCCAAATATGAGACGCTGAAACAGGAAGATTACTGGCAGTTCAAGGCCAACCTATACTAAATAAGTGGTGAGTTCAAGGACAGCTGTGTTAAAAAGTAAGTTCCAGGCTAGCCAGTACTACAGAATGATAGCCTGTCTCAGAATCAAACACATATTTTAGCACTTAAAAAGTTTTAGAGCCGGGAATATAGCTCAGTGGTAGAGTACTTGCCTAGCATGTATGAGCCCTAAGTTCAATTCTCATTATTAAAAAAAAAAAAACATGAACTGGACAAAGTTTTATAGCTCCACAATAGAGCTCTGGCCTGGCATGTGTATACAAAGCACACTGATTCAGTCTCCAGCTCTGCAAGATCAACCAATAAGGACTGGGACGCAAGCCTATGACAGTGCTTGCTAACGTGTGTAAGCTGTGAGTTCAACCCCCAGCACGCAAAAGCCAACACAAATGAAAGTGGGTATTTACCTATGCAATACACTGAGAAGGAAACCTTCGAATAATGTAGAATATAAATAAAAATTAGTTTCTTTTCACCCAACATCTGAAGATAGAATCTGCCCTTGCCCTGTTCTCCTCTATGCCCTTCTTATTCCTTCCTATTGTTAACAGCTGTGCTTCTTTCTTTTATAAGGTATTTCTAGTCAAAAATATCTGCACAAGGTAAAGGTAATTTACAAAGTTTAACAATGAAATGAATGCTACTAACCTATAGTTCAGACTGAGGGAATTTCAGTATTATTAAATCTCCCTGTGTGATCAACTATAAAAATGTTCCATTTTCCCATGTGCTCTCTCCTTTGAAGAATAATTTCTTTAAGCTTGTAGACATAAGTTTTTTGTTATTCAAAAGGCTGTCTTTTTATGTAGCCCAGGCTGGAGCAGAACTTTAATATTTACAAGAGATACAGACTATGTAACTTCAAAATGTTATTTCCATTTTACACAATACTTGAAGCATATTATACATACAAAGAGAAACATCAATTATCATGTCTGTCTGAACCCAGAATACAGAACCAGCACTATTATTTGAGAAATACTTTTAGCTCTAATAACAATACTGTCTAATAATTCAACAGAAAGGGCAAAGCCTCAACCCCATTATTAAGAGCGCGCGCGCGCACACACACGCACACGCACACACACACACACACACACACACACACACACGCACACGCACACGCACACGCACACACACACACACAAAACAAACTAAAACATAAGTTTTTAGAGTATGTATTGCCTCTACTGCACTCAGGAGGTTCCTGAGAACTGCTAATTAGAACTGCTAATTAAAACAACTTATAGGGGGCAAATAATCTAAGAATGTGGGAAACTGGAACTCACAAATACAGTTTAAGAATCTCTAATGGGGGAGGGGAGAAAAGTTGGCTCAGCAGATAAGAGCACTGCCTGCTCTTCCAAAGAACTGGGTTCAATCCCCAGCACCTACAATGGGAGCTCACAACTGCCTGTAACTCCAGTTGTAGGGAATCTGACACCATCATTCACATACATACAAGCAGGTAGAACCAATGCACATAAAATAACAAACAAATAAACAAAAATTTCTAATTAGTATAATCATTTCATATATTATCCAAGTATGACTAAAGATCCACATCAGAGCTATTTATTAGGAAATGAAACACTAATCAAAAATTTGCACTTGAGAGTCATCAGATCTAAGTGATTTTATATCTATATTTTTCTTACCTTATAACGATGGTTTTTATGAACACTACTCTGGAAGCAGTCCATACAGAGCACACATGTTGGATCAATTGCACAATCTCTGAAAAAGATAAATAATTAGATTCCAAAAAACAATGTGCACTGACACCTAAGGCATGACTATAAAACAAGAGATCTTCCTGTGTGGTCCACAAAATGAAGACAAAGATGCCCCCAAAGCTGAGTTCTAAGAATACCTTGAGAAAGACAAAGCTGCCACCATCATTACAGCCTCATCTCTAACATGTTTTAGTGCACAGGATGGTCAGTTTATAACTTCGAGCTTTACCTGGCTTTAAACTGTTACTTATGTAAAAAACTGTATGAAAATTGCATGAAAAATTATTTTCCTTCATTATCTGCCATTGCTGCCCTCTAATTTACATGTACATTTTACAAACACTGTGCACTCTAACTGAGCTTTTCAGTAAGACAAAATTCATTGGAATATAAGCACTATAGAGGGAAAGATTTTTCTCTTAAATATTGACAGTCCAAACACCTGCAACAGGACCTGGCACGTAAGAAGCAATCATGAGCCAGGCACGGTGGCAAATGCCTATAATCCTACAGCTCTAGGAGGCAGAGGCAGGGAAATCCCTGTGAGCTCAAGGCCAGCCTGGTCTACAAAGTGAGTCCAGGATATCCAGGGCTACACAGAGAAACCGTGTCTCAAAATATTAATAATAATCATTGAGTCAACAAAACTCAATCTCTCTCCTTATGAACTTTTACAAAACATGATTCTATTCCATATTTTCAGAGAAATGTAAGAATATATGTTATTACAAGGGACAAAATTAAAAATATTTGAAGAGACAAAATTAAAACGTTTAAAAATAAAATTTAGAGTTGGGTGTGGTGCCATTGCACTCCTGAAGCTAAGCAGGAAAATCACTAAGAGCTGAAAGACAGCCTGAGCTATGTAGTGAGTTTAAGGCTAGCTTGGCCTATATACTAAGACCCTGTCTCAAAAATAAACATACAAAATAAATTTTAGGGTTAGAGGTAGAGAAAAAGGAAGAGGGGAAAGAGAATGAATTTTAAACAGATGACAGGACCTAAATGTTGCCCAAAATTCTGTAAAATCTGTAAAAATATATAATATTATCTGTTTAAAGCAATTTTTAATTTAAATTTTACTTGTAAGAATTCCATATGAGCATTGCATTTTACATAATTTATATGCCTCCCTCTTCCTCCTCCAACTTATTCTGTCTCCTCTTCCACTCCTCTCAAATTCATGACCTCTTCTTTTTTACTGACACACACCCTACTGAGTCCACTCAGTGTTGCTCAGATGTGTGTGTTTAGGGCTGACCTCAGGGATTGGATAACCTACTAGGAGCTTGTCCCTGGAGAAAACAGTCTCCCTCTTTCAGCAGCCACTGATTGCCTCATCTAGGGGCAAGGCCTTGTGAAGTCTTCCCATCCATGCTGGCATGTTAACTGGTGCTATCATTATGCAGGTCTTGTTCAGGAGACTGGACTGTTGAGATTTCATGGGTGTAATTTCCTTGTTGTGTTAAGAAGACACTCTCTAGTATCAGGTGTCCTGGTCTTTTGGCTCTTAAACTGGCCCCTCTGCCCCCGCTGTCACCTTTTCTGGACTGTTTTGTAGCTATAAGGGGTAGGTATAAAGGTTGCATTGTAGATGAAATCAATTGGGGCTGAGTACCCCACAGTCACTCATTCATTCTGACAAGTTGTAGGTCTCTATAATAACCTACCTCAGCACTGCTGACACTTTTGAATAATTAGCAATTTTTTTGTTGTTGTTGTAGAGGGAACTATCTTATACATTGTAGGATACTTAGCAGCAGTCATGGTTTCTACACACTAACAACCCCTAACTGTCACAATGTTTCTAGGAAATTTTGAAAAGATAAGGGCTATACATGTTTATATGCTTTAGTTGAAACTGGGCTTTGTTTTAAATTTATAAAAGAAAAAAACAAATTACTATACAACATAACAAAACAGAATACAAATACGAGCTAACAAATTTTGTTTTCCTGAGAAAGTAACAGTATAAAGAAACTGTTTTTGAAAACTGTGAACTAAGAGCTGAAGTGATTGGCTCAGTGGTTAAGAGCACTGGCTGCTCTTCCAAGGGACCTGGATTTGATTCACAGCACCACATGGTAGCTCACAATTGCCTGTAACTCCAGTTCCAGAGGTCCCCTTTTCTGGATTCTCTGGGTACCCAGTACATACATGGTACGCAGTCATAAATGCAAGCAAAACACAAAAAATAAAAACATTGTAGGATTCAGAAAAAAACACAAAAACTCAAGTGAAGCCAAAATGACAGTCAAGCATAGCCAATGAAACTCTACTGGTAAAGGCTAAAAAGTCATAGTCATAATCTAAATGATCTCAAATAAAAAAGAAAAAGTGGTGCTACTATCTAAAAGTCAAAAATTTCTGCTGGGCACGGAGGTGCACACATTTAAGTCTCAAGTGGTTCTCTATGAGTTTGAGGTCATCCTGGTCTACACAGTAAGTTGCTGGCCAGATAATGCTACATAGTAAGACCTGTCTCAATAAATAAATAAAAACTTAAAAATAAAAAACAACTTCAAGCAGGAATGCAGAGTAAAAAACTTCTCCAGTCTACAATGATATTCAAGACAATTCCTTTAGTCAAAACAAAAAGTCTACACCTGCTTCCAACTTCCATACAACTGACCTCTTACACTCAACCATATTCCAGGTGTTCCGCACAACCCCTGACCTACAGCTCTGAAAAGCAAAAACTCTGGAAGGTTTTGTTACTTTGTGAGCTTCTACCAAATTTCAGTTAGTGATTAAAAGCAAAAAAAAATTACCGGGTGCAGTGGCACATGCCTGTAAACCCAGCACTTGAGCAGGCAGAGGCAGGAGTATCTCTGTGAGTTCAAGGCCAGCCTGATCTATAAAGCGAGTCCAGGACAGCCAAGGCTACGCAGAGAAACAGAGAAACTCTGCCTTGAAAAACCAAAAAAGTGTTCACTTCGGCAGCACATATACTAAAATTGGAACGATACAAAAAAGATTAGCATGGCCCCTGCGCAAGGATTCACGAAGCATTCTATATTTTTCATGGAACCTTCTTCAAAATAGACCATATAGTTGGTCACAAAGCAAGCCTCAACAGATACAAGAAGACTGAAATAATCCCCTGTATTCTATCTGACCACCATGGACTAAAGCTGGACCTCAACAACAATAGAAATAGCAAAAAGCTTACATGCACATGGAAACCGAACAACTTGCTGCTCAATGACAGCTGGATTAAGGAAGAAATAAAGAAAGAAATTAAAGGCTTCCTAGAATTCAATGAAAATGAAGGTACAACATACCCTAATTTATAGGACACAATGAAAGCAGTGCTCAGAGGAAAATTCATAGCACTAAATGTCTTCAAGAAGAAATTTGTAACATCTCATACAAGCAACTTAATAGCTCAACTGAAAGCCCTAGAAAAAAAAAGAAGCAAATACACCCAAGAGGAGCAGACGGCTGGAAATAATCAAACTCAGGGCTGAAATCAATCAATTAGAAACAAATAAAACTAATCAAAGAATCAATAAAACCAAGAGCTGGTTCTTTGAGAAAATCAACAAGATAGACAAAGCCTTAGCCAAACTAACTAAAAGGCAGAGAGAAACTATCCAAATCAACAAAATCAGAAATGAAAAGGAGGACATAACCACAGACAATGAGGAAATCCAAACTATCATTAGGCCATACTACAAAAGCCTATATGCCAAAAAATTTGAAAATCTAAAAGAAATGGACAATTTTCTTGATAGATTCCATCTACCAAAATTAAGTCAAGATCAGGTAGAAAGATTGAATAGTCCTATTTCTCCCAAGGAAATAAAAGCTGTCATCAACAGTCTCCCTTCCAAAAAAAGCCCTGGGCCAGATGGATTTAGTGCAGAATTCTACCACACCTTCAAAGAAGTGCTAACTCTAATTCTCTTCAAACTATTTCACAAAATAGCAAAATAGAAACAGAAGGAACTTTACCAAACTCATTCTATAGAGTCACAGCCACCTTGATACCTAAACCACACAAAGACCCAACAAAAAAAGAAAACTTCAGACCTATCACTCTTATGAACATTGATGCAAAAATACTCAATAAAATGCTTGCAAACCGAATCCAAGAACACATCAAAGATATCATCTACCGTGACCAAGTAGGCTTCATCCCAGGCATGCAAGGGTAGTTCAACATATGGAAATTCATGAATGTAATCCACCATATAAACAAACTGAAGGAGAAAAACCACATGATCATCACCTTAAATGCCGAAAAAGCAGTTGACAAAATCCAACACCCATTCACGTTTAAAGTCTTGGAGAGATCAGGGATACAAGGCACATACCTAAACATAGTAAAGGCAATATACAGCAAGCCAAGAGCCAACATCAAACTCAATGGAGAGAAACTTAAATCAATTCCACTGAAATCAGGGACAAGGCAAGGCTGCCCACTCTCTCCATATCTCTTCAACATAGTACTTGAAGTCTTAGCTAAAGCAGTAAGACAGCTAAAGGAGATCAAGGGGATACAGATCAGAAAGGAAGAGGTCAAAGTTTCACTATTCACAGATGATATGATATTATACATGAGCGACCCCAAAAATTCAACCAGAGAACTCTTTCAGCTGATAAACACCTTCAGAAAAGTGGCTGGATACAAAATCAACTCAAAAAAATCAGAAGCCCTCCTGTATACCAACGACAAAAGGGCCAAGAAAGAAATCAGGGAAACACCACCCTTCACAATAGCCACTAATAACCTTGGGGTGACTCTAACCAAGCAAGTGAAAGACCTTTTTGAAAAAAACTTCAAGTCTCTGAAGAAAGAAATTGAAGAAGATATCAGAAGATGGAAAGATCTCCTGTGCTCATGGATTGGTAGGATTAACGTAGTGAAAATGGCCATTCTGCCAAAAGCAATCTACAGATTCAATGCAATTCCCATCAAAATACCAACACAATTCTTTACAGACCTTGAAAGAAAAATTCTCAGCTTCATATAGAGAAACAAAAAATCCAGAATTTCCAAAGCGATCCTGTACAACAACAGATCATCTGGAGGTATCTCCATCCCCGATCTCAAGCTGTATTACAGAGCAATAGTAATAAAAACTGCATTGTATTGGCATAGAAGCAGAATGGTGGATCAATGGAACAGAATAGAAGACCCAGAAATAAACCCACACACCTATGAATACTTGATTTTTAACAAAAAAGCCAAAACCATTCAATGGAAAAAAGACAGCATCTTCAACAAATGGTGCTGGTCCAACTGGATGTCTACATGTAGAAAAATGAAAATAGATCCGTATTTATCACCCTGCACAAAACTGAAGTCCAAGTGGATCAAAGACCTCAACATAAAACCAGAT